GTGGGGGTGGGGGTAGGGGCTATGTGTGCCTGTTCTATAAGCACTTGAGAATTTGCAGTGCCCTTTCTATTATTGGTATAGTAGCCCTATATTTTCGAGTTTTAAGTCAAAAAATTACAATTAAATAATCTTCCATTCGTCTGATTGCTACAATAATTGAGAGATGGCGAAGGGGCTTATAGGCATTTAGATGATATTCACTTGACATTGGAAACAAATACTTTTGAGACAATATTTTTTACTTATTAAACATTAAAAATAAATAAGAAAATTCCACTTAATTTCTAAGAAATTAGAAAAGAAGAGTCTACCTAACTTTTCTTCTCCTTTTTTTCTGGTTTTAAATAAATTAATAACGTGTTTTGCGTGTGGAAAAAAAATTTGTGGCAATTATTTGTATAGGTTCAGATTTTTTAAAATCAATTTTATAATGCAATTGAATTTACCACGCTTTTCTCAGCAGAATACCACGTATCCCATTCCTCTTCGTCCCACTTCTAAATTCTTCTTTTCCATTCTGTTTTTTTTATTATTATATATTTTGATATTTGAGGGAGGATTATTTAATTTTATTTTATTTACTATCTAATTAAATTCCTTTTTTCTTTTGGAGATAAACAAATTGCTGCAAGCTATGACATATTGATCATTGTTTTGGAAGTTCTCTCTCATTTAATAAAAACAAAAATCCACGTGTACCAGTGTTAACAAAAGTCTAATTTTTTAAGTGGAAAATAAGGTACTAATTAAATGTCCCGAACTTTCTGGTAAGTTGGTACGAACCGACAATAAAATAAAAAATATCTAGACCTAAAAAATCTCCACAAAAAAAAGACATAAAGAAAAACTCTTTTGTATCACTGCTATAGCCACGTTTTTCCTCTTGAGAAAAATCTGGAATGCTATGTATTGCTATTGTAAAAAGTATTTGTATATTATTTTATAAACAAATAAATTTATTATAAGTATATTGTAATTAATAGGTTATTTGATAAAAATAATAACTTATGTAATAACCATCAAGTGATGTGGTGCAGTGGATGAGGTTGTTCTTCCCTTAACCAGAAGTCTCGAGTTCGAGCCCTGGGTATGGAAAAATACTTGGTAGGGAGCGCTACACCCCGTATGGGGCTTTATCCAATGCGAATTCGGATATTTTCGGGCTCCAATGCAGGTACCGAATACGTGGTGGGAAATCAAAAGAACTAATTAGGTAATGTACATTAAATTAATCTTATCAGGTTGATCTACTTATGCCTTCATTGGACTTCAATAGCTTTGGCTTAGACACATATACACAAAACTCAATATATCATTAAAAATAATAAATTTTAAACTGATTAAATTAAATAGAATATGATAGAATTACGAAATTCCATATTCTGCAAAATGTGTATACTTATAATATAAAATAACTTCATAATATTAACATGTTTCTCTTTTACACGTTCTTTAAGAAAATGTTAATAAGAGGGTTTATTTAACTATTATAACCTTATTTAATACTCTTCACTTTAGGTTTTCTATGCTATGTAGTAAATATTTTTACTTTCAAGAACATTTAACACTAAGGGAAAAACAGAAAAAAATATATATTTTTTTTATTTTAGTTCAAAATAAGCATCTTTTTTACATAACAAAGAATGAACTAACTTTAAATTTTTAAAAAATTTCCTTATTTACGTATCCGAATGTGTCAAGTGAACAATATATAAATTTTAATTAAGAGTAATTTAGTCAAAACACTTATTTTTTTCTATTTTCATAAGGGGCATACCAAAGACCAAAAAGTCATTTACTATGCATAGGAAGGAATAATTAAATATACCTTAGTTTTTCTAAAATGATAATTATTTTAGACCAGATATATTTAATAAGCACGACAATTAATATAGACCGGAGGAGCTATAACTTAAATCCAAAATTAATTTTATTATACTATACTAAAAAAAGTCTTAATTAAGTACAACTCTCCCTTCACTTATATTTAAAATAGGTTTTCACTCTTGGGAGTAAATTGCAACCTATTGTTTGAAGAAACCCATAATCACATATTCCCAAGAATCTTCTCCTTCAATCACAAATTCCACACTATATTCTCGCTTCCTCTACTTTGCTTCCTTTCAACTTCCAACAACTTGCTCTACATAAATAAAGTGATAATAAAACAACCCCATTCTTCTTCTTGGTCTAAATATTCTATCTTTTTTTTAGTCTTTTTTTGTTTCTTTTTTCCCCATTTAATTGTGTTAAAACTAACTAACATGTGCATTCAAGACTCAGAACAAGTGAATGAGGCTATGGAGAATTTGGACATTTCAAAGACTGATAACAATTTCAAGAACCAATCTTTGCTTTCTAAAGCTGAATTACAACATACCCAGATTCAGAATTATGAAAAAATTACAACTTCTAGCCATTCTGTGATGAGAAACTCATTCCCAGTAAGGATTTTCTTTTTCTTTTTTAATTGTAATATTTGCTTATACCTATTATTTTTTCCAGTTTTTAGGTAGTATTAATTGTATTCTAATTGGTATTAGTAGTTTTTAGTTTCATAAATGTTGGTTTAATTTGAAGTTTGGTTTATACTCTTTAAAGATATGATTTTTATGGTGTAATATTTGCTTATACCTATTAATTTTTTTCCCCAGTTTTTTTTAGGTAGTGTTGATTATATTCTTTTTTGTGTTATTGGGATTGGCTTTGTTGATTTGCATATGGATGTTGATTTGTAGTAGTAGTAGATTTTATTGTCATAAATGTTAGGTAATTTTGACTTCTGTTATAATGTTTAAAGATTTGATTTTTATGGTGTATTTATTATGCCTTAGACAGTACTATGAAGCTATGGTTATTGGTCTGTTTTCATTTAATATCATGCTGAAATTTTATGTTCAAGTACTGTTTGATCCATAATTTATATTTGAGTTTTTACCATTAAACCCGTTGCGCTTTTGAAATTATGTGGTCAAAATTTAGTATTTGTTGAAATTTTAGTAATTAAATATTGCATTCAGCTGAACTTCGTAAACTAGGCTCCATCCACCTGTGTGTGTGTGTGTGTGTTTTTACAACTGTCTTCTGTTAGATGGTCATTTATGAATAAATTGGTGTCTTATGTTTTGTGATTTGGATTTCTTGATATTCTTTCATTTGGAGGAAGTATGAAACTGGCTGGATAAATTAGTAGAATGACTTTTGTAACTTTTACATCTGAGCTACAGTGAACCTAAATTTCATATACATGTTTCTTTTCCCCTTTTTTGTGAACTTGCAAATTGTCTGATGATAATTTTTGCTCATTGTCTTCTGAAAGATCTATTTCAAGATGTGTTTCGTATGGTCAGTGGCGGAACCACCTTATCCATAGGGGGTGTCCCCTTCATCCGAAAACCTATACTATGTAGCTCGGTAATTTTTTTTATATGTATATATTACTATATATTGACTTGACTTCTTCGTGTTTTTACTTCGTTATATTTTGACACTCCTTAGTAAAAGTCCTAGTACTGCCACTGTGGACGGTCCTTCATAGAATTGTTTTGTTTGCTGACATACATAGTGAATGATTTAGAGTTTGCATTAGCATTGATTTTGTGGTTCTGTTTCATAATCATGCTGTACAGTCCTGATGCATATCTTCCTAAAGACCTAAACAGAGAATTTGCACTGAAATTCACTTTTATTGCCACATCTAAGCTAATTGTTCCTTGCATAGGAATTATTTCTTCGCCTTATAATTAATTTCTTTCCTTTTCTGCAGCTGGAAAGTATTTCGGAAGACGCAACTATTGTGGATCGGAAACAGATACTCTTTAATAACTTCCTCCCAACCCTTAGGTCTGGAGATTGGTCCGATATTGGAGGTCGCATTGACATGGAAGACACTCACATCTGTATTGCGGACCTAGCTAAGAATTTTGGCCATAATATACTTGGTGAGGAAGCTATTTCTTTTTATGGAGTAAGTTCTTTAACCTCATTGGACATCACATATATCGTTCTTGACTATACTCAATTTACTTGTAGACCGAATTCTCTCAGAAGTTTAGTATAGCTCTTTCTCAGTAAACATGGGAAGTATGCCGACATGTGTAGGAGCTATCTATTTTATAGGGCAAGCCTAGACGATTTCTGCAGATCTTGAAGTTTAGTATAGCTCTTTCTCACTTTTACTGCTTCCTCCAACCAAAGGGAGAGTCTTCTGTGCAAGACTAAAAAATGAAATAGATGTGCCGTAGCAAAGCTGGATATTTCTGAATTTAGAATGTTTCAATGTGAATTTGGTATCATCTCCATTTTTCTGGAATCATGTGATACAGGCTAAAGAAAGAAGAGTAAAATAGAATAACACTAGAGAGTGGACACAAACTAGAGAAGTGCTCTGATCGTTAGAGTTGTGAGATGTGCACATCTCTTCAGCATATAGGTGCTTCCTTCATGCTTTTGCAAAACAGGAGAACAGCCATAGCTGATTATCAAAGTAAAGTATGAAAAGCGTAGGTGACAACTTATGTTTAGAGCTCTCCAAACTAGTTGTATATCAGATAATGACATTACAAGGAACCACAAAAGAACTGAAGAGACCACCTCTCTCCAAAGTTGAAGCATAATACTACCCTTAAAATTTTGGGAGTCTTGTAAATGTACCTATTGAACAGCAGTAGGTAGAGCAGCACTAATTCAACTACTTCCATCTGAAATGCGTATCTTATTTCCTACTTAGGACCATGCCTATGAAGAGGATTTTTTTTTTCTGTTTTGGTTTGGGGAGGGGGAGCAGAGCGAGAGAGGGAAAGAGGTTAAAAGCCATGTTGTCTATACTTGGGAGTTTCTTCTATTTGATATTATTATATCTTAGATGTCTAATGCGAACAGTTCTAATGACAGGTCTTTGATGGACATGGTGGGAAGGGAGCATCACAATTTGTTCGTGACTACTTGCCGAGGATCATTGTTGAAGATGCTGATTTTCCATTGGAACTTGAGAAAGTGGTCACAAGATCTTTCGTAGAGACAGATGCTGCCTTTGCCAAGTCATGCTCTCTTGATTCAGCCTTGTCCTCAGGCACTACTGCACTCACCGCAATGATATTTGGAAGGTTATTTATTCCTGTGCCTAATCCCTTTCCTCTTGTTTTTTTTTCTTTCCATTCACTATCTTCTTTTTATGTGTTAGATTTATGTCTATTGGGAAATGACAGAGGTTTTTGTTATTTGCTTATTCCCAGCTAAGTAGTGATTTATACCGGAAGAATAATACTTCATTCAGCAAGGGGTATCATTAATTTTATTGAAATATCAAATCGTGGTTAACACTTATTAAGCTGACATTTCAGATGCATCTTTCTTTGACTAGTGTACTGTTTTGGTTGATATAATTGTTTGCCCTTGCGCAATTATCTCATTAAGCTACATTCAGAAATCTATGTTCTAAGATTGGCTGCTAGTATCAATTCTCTATACTGATATGTTGTCTTATGGACAGATCATTGCTTGTCGCCAATGCTGGTGATTGTCGAGCAGTTGTATCCCGACGTGGACTGGCTATAGAAATGTCAAAGGATCACAGACCTTGTTGTATTAGTGAAAGAACTCGTATAGAGTCCGTGGGTGGATTTGTTGATGATGGCTACTTGAATGGACAGCTAGGCGTGAGCCGGGCATTAGGTAACTGGCACATTAAAGGACTGAAGGAGGTTGAAAAGGGTGGGCCATTGAGCGCTGAGCCTGAACTGAAACTGCTGACATTGACAAAGGAAGACGAGTTCCTGATTATTGGTAGTGATGGAATATGGGATGTTTTCAGAAGCCAAAATGCAGTGGATTTTGCTCGTAGGAGACTGCAAGAGCATAACAATGTGAAGTTTTGCTGCAAGGAAATAGTAGACGAGGCCAAAAAGCGCGGTGCAATAGACAACTTAACGGTAGTCATTGTTTGTTTTCACTCTGAGCCTCCACCTCCAGTTGTTTTTCAAAGATCAAGAATAAGGAAAAGTATTTCCGCGGAGGGGCTTGAGAATCTAAGATCTTTGCTTGAAGGCTAGAGCTGCAATTTACTATATCAATTTTGTGCAGCCTGCATCATATCCACTTAAACAACAGCGATAATGACGATTAATTGGTTACTTCTGGACAACTTTGTAAATACATGAGAGGTAAGCTTATTTTCTTCCTTGTAATTCTCCCATTTAGTCCAAGTGCAAGATGAAATAAAGCTTAAGGGAGACAAGCAAATTATGGAGCCAAATTTTTGTACATAAATTAATCTATTCTTCAATTGTATGATTCCCCGACTAAAGGAAACTCAACTGAATCTCACCTTCTGGTTAGACAAAATTGATTGTTGGTTATGTTCCAACCTTTTTGGTGTCATAGCAAAGTTTGTGTAATGCTGCATCTCTTGGTTGTGAATGTGTTAAGAGTTCTAAATCTCTATGCATGCGCCTCCATAAGAGTGTACTTTAGGCTCGATTTGCTTTTTCAAGCTACCCTTTGTTTCAAACAATAGCACTGACGAGCAGAGACAGACCCAAGATTTTAATGCGATGGGGGCACTAGTATTCTGCTCAACCAGTACCCCTAATGGTTTTTTGTATTCAGGGTGCCAAGTGATTTGAATTAACCATTTTCAAAGTATACACATACATATACAAGATTTCTGCCGAAGTTTTCGGGTTTGGGTGACTCTTCAAGGTTACACGTAGGTCTGCCTCTGCTGACGAGCAAGAAAACGGGTATGCTAAGGCATCTTTGGCTTAATTTCACAATGTAGTTGCTGCTGAATTGGTGCCTGTAAAGTATCATCACTAAAAAATTTCATCTGCCACAAAGATCTAATATGGAGTTGGCACACATAAAACATCAAAAAAAAAACCATTATAGGACCTTATCAATGAGGTACGCCACATTATTCAAACCATTGCCTTTTCAGCTAAGACGGATACATGCTTTGAGCTTCATCTATTTTGAGTACAGCCATTTTAGTTCTATAAACTCTAGGGGTAAAGTGAGGATTATCACTTGAAATTTGCGCCTCAAATGATGGTGCACGAGGTGCTTCCAACGAGCATTGTTCTCATCTTTGAATCTCAATTTTGAGGACTTGGATTAATATCGACATTATTGTATATTGCATATTGGAATTGGTAATTTTAGTTACAATATAATCTTTACTGTACGAAATCCATAAATGTGTTAACCCTGAAAAGCTCCAACTTGTCTAAATACATCCAGTCCTACGACTCTTTGTTGACCATTTGAATTTTAACCATGACGGGAAGAAACAAAGAAAAATGTGAGAACTTTAAAGGAAATAAAATAAAATAAGGAGAAAGATTGTTTGGTTTAACCAAGAAAAAATGTTCTTATTGTAAAGTCTCATTCCCTAGCTTTAAGTCTGAATATCATCAAAACCGTCAGCCGACTGCTGCTAAAAAAATTTAGGATAATCAAACCGAGTCCTCTTGAGAAAACTAGTAGTAATTAATTTATAACATTTTCGTGTAGTAAACAAGTTATCTAGCAGTGAATTTTCATATAATCTTCAATCTTTAGCTTACATAGTGGTTACATAGTTAACCAAATATGAGACTCTCATCCTGTAAAACTGGGATCAAATGTTACAAAACTCACCTAAAATAAAAAAGGAACTTCTGGCAAAGCTAAAATGAGTTCAACCTTTGGGTATATAGAATCCAAAGAACGTGCTAAAAGAGGATAAAGTAAGAACTTGAACAAGTGCCCAGTAATTCAATACGCCTGAGCTTACAGAAATCTCATACTCAATGCCAGTCGTGCGAGAACCTACCCTTTGACGGAGAGGAAACCACCACAAATACTCGAATGTTAGAGCAAGGGATTATCCCAACAAATAGATGAGCTCAAAGGGAGAGTTACGCAGGAACTATTCGTGATCCTGGTATGCCAAATTTGTACTAGACTATTACATATTTCAAGAGGCTGGAGGCTGGAGGCTACAACATCTTTCAAGAGGCTGTCGGCTACATGACATACAAAACCACCTCAACTATGTGATATCTACATCATCTGCAGGTGAAGATCAGCATCCTGCTGCGCAAGCTCCACCATCATAGCCTCATCAAAGAATTTGTTGATGCTCACGTCTTCACTCATTCCCTAAAAGAAAAGGGATAGATCCATTATTTAAGACAATACTCTTGGTCAATAGAGCTAAATAGCTACTTTTTGTAAGGGCCTGTAAGTCCAGCTTAGATTACCACATTCCCCTTATGTTTGTGTTTTAAAAAAACCGAAAAAGATGAGAGTTGAAGCCTTAAATGGGAAGCAAGGGATATGTGGAAGGGGGCTTGCACCAAGATCATAATAGAAGAGGGGGGAACAAGGGACATCTGGAAGGGGGCAAGCACCACTTCAAATCATGTGCTGTTCAAGAAACCTGAAGAGTAAATAATCTCAAATTAACCCTGCTAGAATGTATACCTTTCTACGCCTTGTCTTCACCATGAACTCACGAGCCAGATGCTGAATTGGGGCAGGCTCTAGTGGTCGCAAAACGATGCTCTTGTCAAGAGGATCTCCAGGAACAATAGCCCAATGATCAAACACTGAAAGACAAAACGCCTGCCCTTGGGTGTGATACCTCAAGTCAGTTTCAAAACCAAAGGACTCGATAACAGGTAAAAATGCCTGGAGAAGGAACAAGTGTGCATATGAGAAAACCTGATGTTATAACATGAAAAGATTATATAAAAAATCCAGGGTGCTATCTATATTTCGAAATCAAACCTTGACGATGTAGGCAGGGGTCCCAGGTTGAGGAACATCAGCAGTAACATGTCCACGCCTGCGAGACAACACGGTGTATATAGCAGAGAGACAATCCATGGGTGTTTGGATCTGAATCAAGACACAGAAAGTTAGCCCCAGTTTCACATAAGAAAACATCTTAAATCTATCTTTTTGTTAAAATTTCATCCCTATTTCTGTAAATAATTGAACCTAACTAAGTCTTAACAACGTACTTATCTCATCATTTGAACATTGTAAAAACACCTAAAAGAACTAACTTCAGACACACGGGTTATACCTCCACATAATACACAGGTTCCATAAGCCTGGGTGTCGCCATAAGGAAAGAAGAGTAGGCTACACGTCGTGCAGTTGGAATAATCTGACCTGTTCCACGATTAAGTGGCTCAAGTGCAATCTTTGCATCAACTATTTTGAATTTAACATTTCTAATGGGCTCATCACACAGGGGTCCTTCCCGAGCTCCCCATTGAAACCTGTTAAAATTTTGTTAGCCCAATATCTCAGGAAGGAAAGAAAGCATAAAAATAAGATCAAGTTACCCCTGAACAATAGAATCTTTAACAGCATTCAACAAGCTCTTGTCCACTTCACTGGAGAGTGTATCATCCAATAAGATGTTAGGTCCCTGCAAATACATTTGAAGTGTTAAAACGGAAAACTTATGTTCAATTAAACAATAGAAGTAATCCATTAGCAAATGTTCAAAATAACCAAGTGGTAAAGCATCTAAGCCGATGCAACCCTGACCTGCTTATCAGGTCCAAATGCCCAAATAGATCGTGCAGCAAGCAGATCCCAGTCATATTTGGTTTGAAAAAAGTCACCAAGTTTCTTTCTAGGCCAATCTATGCTTACAACACTGTTCTCGATGTCCTCAGCAAGTCCTCTCTCTAACGGTTCCGCAATCTACAAGCAATATAAGTGAGCAAGGAGGGAAACAATTTTCTCAGCTTGCACATATCAAAAAATTAACGGACTGTCTCACCATGGTAATTTTATTTTTCTTATTAGGTGTTTCAGCAAAACATTTCATTGAAGACGACTCCACTACAGTTTCGCAGAATGAAACAACTGGATCAGCCACCTGAATATTGCACACACAACGAAAATGCACCTCGAGATCAGTCAAGTTTAACAAATGAATCCTTAATGTCAATAAAGTTTGGATTTGTCCTGAAACAAGTAGAGAACTGACAAAGGTGAATGTATGAAGAGAGAGTTATAAAGCACCTTCACTTCCACCTCGGAGTAAAGCTCCCTAAGGTCCTTCATTATGGAATCTAGGTACAATTCACCAGTACCCAATATTGTGTGTTCACCAGACTCTTCAACCTTTGTGATTGCAAGAGGATAACTCTTGCTGATTTTCCTAAGCCCCTCCACCATTTTGGGCAACTCGCTAGGATTCAAAGGCTCAGTTGCTGTTTTCACCACGGGAAGAGTATTGAACTGAAGGGGCCGGAATATGTACACATCCTCGCCAAATTCCGAGTTACAAAGAGTAGCAGTTTTCATGATTGAAGCATCCACTCCTTCAATCAACACCCAAGCACCAGGAGGAGCCTTACTTATGGGTATCCTGTATCGAGCTTGATATACCCACAGCTTTGTGACCTCTTTTACAGTCATATCCTCCTCATCATCAGGTGAATAGCCCTCTCCCAAAACGCGTACTGTCTGCCCTGTCATTATTTCCCCGCTGTAAACCCTACCAAAAGCATCAAAAACACTACAATCTGATTTGGGATACAGCTTGGTCACATTAACCATCAAAGGGCCAGCGGAGTCACAATCTTCCATTGCTTTGTAAATTGCTGAATCCTTTGGACCCGTGTATATGTGCTCCACTTTCCTAGCTGCAGCAGCTTTAGCAGAAGGAATGTGATGAACCAACATGTCAGTAAAGCCAGTGGCAGTGCCAAAAACAGCACTGCAAGCCAGCCTCAGAAGAGGCCTAACATTTAGACGGTAAGCTGCATTGCTAAGCGTCACACCAAGTTCTGCCAGGGTTGCTTCAACACTCTTCTTGTGCTCTCCAATCACTTGGCTATAGATTTTGTAAAGAGGTTCAAGAACGAACTGCACAAAAGATCTTTCGACCCCACTTGCAGGCGGTTTCTTCTTGAAACTTCTTGTGTCAGGATCAAAGTAGAAGTCCCCCCAAAGCCGCGAAGCAAACTTGTTGGCATCAAATGCAACTCCATGAAGCTTAACATACAGTTTGGCAAATGACTGCAGTGTGAACGACCATCCTGCTGTTGCACTTGCAAAGCAGACATTCCCTAACGCAGGATCGAATACTTGTGCATTTCCAGCTATGGACTTGGCAGCTGTAACTTGATTGTTGACAGCTTCAATTATGTGCTTTAATTTGAAGTAGGCATCCTTTGGAGGCAATTTAAGCTCAGTTATCAGTCTGTCAACCTAAAAGGACAATAAAAATTATTAGAGGAAAATAAACTGTATCTCAACATTGCAAGACACTTACTATTTTCACTAGTTTTATGTAATAGGCAAGATACCTTGTTAATCACAAGAACAATCGGAATACGTTCTTGAATCGCATG